AACTTCATATATTTATAGAATTGACTATCAAAAAAGATATAAAGTCTGAAGGAATAAATAAGAATTAAATTAAAATCTATGTTTCAGGTAATATATGACAAAGTATATAAAGAAATAATGATTTAATTAAATTTGATTTTATCCTTTTACTATATAAAATAAGCTTTCATATATTTATAAATTATAATTTATTAATTTTCAAATTGTAATTCCGTAAAATTACATGCCATATAACAATTATTTAGACATTTTCATCTTACTTTGCAAAAACAATTCCACCACACGAAGAAAACACTGAAGAAATGATAAAGTGCTTTCCATTTAAATGTGGAGTTAAAGAAAAAGATGCTAATTTAATCTTAACTTGCACAGCTCAGGCATTAATTAATGTTAAAAAATTTAAAGAAAAAGGCAACGAACTCTATAATAATGGAAGGTACCAAGAAGCAGCCAATGAATATACCAAAGCTATGGCTTCTTTCACATTTAAAAAAACAAACGCTGCTACGGACCCTTCAACTATACAAGATACTGACGCTTCCTTAGATACCCAAGATGCAGTAAAACTTTACGCTACTTTACTATCAAATAGATCTGTCTCTATGAAAAAAATAGGAAAATTTGAAAATGCTAAAAAAGATGCAGAACAAGTTATAATTATGAGACCAACTTGGTTTAAAGTAAACATCATAAATTGTAAAAAAAAAAAAAAAGAATTAATATTATAATTCTTATTATAATATAATTATATAAAATAGAAAATGCAATAATCATATTAATATGATTATATATTATATATTATATATATAATAAATATAAAAGGGTTACTTTAGAAAAGCTGAGGCTTTGAATGAATTAAGACAATTTGAAGAAGCTAAAAACTTCTTCTTAGAAGCATTAAAATTGGTTGGTATTCATAATAATAATAAGTTGATAATGTTTATTAATTTATATATTAAATTCATTAAACTCATTATAAAAAACTAATACACAGGAACCCAGTAACGAAACCCGTATTAGAAGATATATTACCTATATTAATAAAGAAATAGAAAATAAAGAAATGGGTAATTTTTAAATTATTTTTCATATAATATTTTAATACTGATTTTATCCATAAAATTATAATAATCAACAACTTTTTTCTTTATAAAATTACTTTAGGTTTAGATATATATCAATTAATTCCTGGTCGGGATATTTGCTTAAGATCTATAAAAACACCAATTCAAAACTTTATATTTCCATTTAGTTATGAAATGCAAAATTTATTATATATTGTCTCGGACTCAAAAACAAAGAATTGTGTATTAGTAGATCCTGTATGTATTAAAATGCAATATAAATAGTATAAATATATATTAGTAATAAATTTATATATTTTTGTATTTTAATTAATTAGTGTTGGGATATTGATGGCATTGTTCAATATGCAAAATCAGCAAACTTAAATATTGTTGGAGCATACTATACTCATTACCATATCGATCATGCAGGAGGTATCCCACCAGCACCATACGATAAGTATTACATTCGTGTTGATGGTTTATTAAAATTGTCAAAAAAATTCCCAGATATACCAATTTATATTCATGAAGATGATTTTGAAGGCTTACAAGCATCTAACCCTGAAATCCAAAAAGATAGATTAACTTTTGTAAAAGATGGTCAAGTCTTAGAAATGCCAGGTAGTAATGGTAAAGATTCTAATAACGTAAAATTTAAAATATATCATACACCAGGTCACACTCAAGGATCAATATGTATTTTAATCAACGATAAAAGATTATTGACGGGTGATACCTTATTTAATGGAATTTTCGGTCGTTGCGATTTTCCGGATTCGGATAAAAGAAAAATGTTTGAGTCTTTAAACCGACTCAAACTTTTAGATGAGAATATATTGATATTACCAGGACATAATTATAATGGTGAATGGACTACCATTAAAGAGCAGAAAAATCATGGACCTCTATATGAAAGAGATTATGAAACTTGGGCTATGAAATATACTGGTAGTACTGAATAATTATAATAATCTGGCGCATTTAAAAAAAAAAAAAAAAGAAAGAAAAAAACTATTAAAAATTAGTTATATAAAATTTAAGTATTTCTTAATAAAAATGAAATATTATGTATGTTTATAAAGTATATATAATTTATAGAAGAATTTCATATAAAAATAAAAAATATAATTACTAAGAAATGAATAAAATAGTTTTAAAAGGAATTATATAATATCATTATCTACAAAATGAATATATAAAATGAATTTATAAAATTGAATTTGAATTTGTTAAATAAGTATTATAACTTAAATATTTGTTTAAATCCATAATTAATTAATAATAATCAAAGTAAAAAAAAAAGAAAGAAAGAAAGAAAGAAAAGAAAAGAAAAGAAAAGAAAAGAAAAGAAAAGAAAAGAAAGGAGAAAGAAAAAAATATAAATGAAAATATTTATAATAATCTTATATATAATAATAAATTCAACTTCATATAAAATATATAGAAATAAATAATAATTCAAAAAAAAAGTTATATATTTATCAAGCATTTAATTTAATTATATATTCTAATTAATTTGTAGTTAGTAATTTTTCTTATTTTAAAAAAAGCAATTGTTATATAATTAATATGTTTTTTTTTTTTTTTTTTAATTACAATAAGATATTATATTATATAAGTTTTATTAGTTATGTGTCTTTATAATTTAATGTAATTTTTACTAATATTAATTTAATTGTTACTTCTTGACATATAATAACAGAAAATAGTTAATATTTAAAGATTCAGAAATTATTGAATAATAAAGTATATAATGGAATAGTTTCATATTAAAATTCTATTTAAGCATATCTAAATTACTGACACATAAAATTTAATCACATGGATGATTTAATATTTATAAAAAAGAACCAATAACTAATTAGTATAGCTCCATATCAATATGTATATAAATTACAAAATAAATCTTTTCTAAACTTTTTTTTTATTTGGTTTATAGTATTAAATATATCTATACATTTTATAGTATGTCTAAACAACAACAACAAGAAGAATATCTTTTATATGAAAGAAAGTTTATTACATTAAATAAGAATGTACCAAATACTATTCCTTCAAATAAGGATGATATTAAAAAAGTTCAAACCATTACATTAATGTCTTATAACATTTTAGCACAATGTTTAATTCATAGAGAACTTTATCCATATTGTAAAGAAAAGAAACCTTTAAAACTTTCATATCGTACAAATTTATTAATGAAAGAATTCGAATCTATTCAACCAGATATAGCCACTTTCCAAGAAGTTGATGGATTCTACAACTTATATCAAAATTGTTTTGAAAAACTTGGATATGACTATAAATATATAAAAAAACAAATTAAAGATAAAGTTTATCAACATGGTGTTTGTATATTATGGAAAAAAGAAAAGTAAGTTAATTATTATATATGTATATCTTTTTAGAAAAAAAAAAAAAGAAAAGAAAAGAAAAATGATCTCTAATATATATTGTAAATTGTAAAATTCAATAATACATTAATAAAATTTATAATTTAATTAATATTAAAAATTATATGATAATATCATAAAAACAATAATGATAACAATATAATAATTAAAATATTAAAATAATAATAATAATAAATATCCTCAATATTTATAATAAAGATTTTCAGAAGTTCAATATAATGGATTTTTATTTGATGAATCACCTTTAGTTACACCAACAGATATCACACCATATACTGGTAATACAGGACAAATTATTGCATTAAGATTCAATAATACCAATGAAAATGCTGAAGAGAAATTTTCAAATATCGAAAATGAAGAACTAAAAAGACTCGAAATAGAAAAATACAATATAGAAAACGATTTAGGAATTATAATATCAAATCATCATCTTTATTGGAAACCAAAAGCAAAATATGAAAAATTAAGACAAATTTATGTAATGTTAAACAATATATATTCTTTGAAAAATGAAATTGAACAAGATAATATAAAATTATACAATGATGTATGTAACAAAATTAAAAACTTTGAAAATACTGTCGAAAAGCAATCATTAAATAAATGGCCAGTAATCATGTGTGGTGGTAATTATATACAAATTTTCATTTAAATTAAAAACAATAATTTACAATGAGTATATATTACAGTAAATTGAAGTATATTAAAATTGATTTATTATAGTAATTAAAAGATAATATTTTCTTTTTCTTTTTTTTTTTTTTTTTTTTTTTTTTTGAATACATATAATATAGATTTCAATACTTCTCCAGATCAAGAAATATATAAGCTTATAACAAAGCAAGAATTAAACAAAGAAGAACTTAAAGAATTGGAACCAAAAATTGAATCCGAAACCGAAATTAAAGATAACCCATTAACTTCAACAATATTAATAGAAGAAATTAAAAAATTTCCAAAAGGAAAAAGTTCATATTCTAGCTATAGAGATAATGATCCTAGTCATACTATCAACCCAAATTGGAAAAAAGGGCATGAATTCTTTAAAGGTGAACCAACTTACACAACTTACTGTGGTTGGAAAGGTACACTTGATTATGAATTCATAATGGATGATAATGATTTTAAATTCAATCAAGAAAACAATGATATTTCATTTAATCCTACATACTTAAAAGTAACTAAAAATTTAAATGTACCAAAAAGTGACATTCTTGAACCAGGTTTACCTAATTTAAATTTTCCAAGTGATCATATTTGCATTATGAGTGAAATAGAATTATATCAATAAAACAAATAATTTAAACATATTAAACCAAATAATCAAATTAAATAAAAATAAGAATTAACAAAATTCAAAAAAATAAAAATAAAATAAAATTATAAAATTATAAAATAAAATTATAAAATAAAATTATAAAATAAAAAAATGAAGTTTTTATATATATATAAAATATTGAATTTGAGTATTTTGCATAGTAATAAATATAAAAATTTAAATATTATATAAAATAATTGCCCACTAGCGGGATTGAACCACTGATCTTCGCTTTACGAGAGCGACGCTCTACCACTGAGCCAAGCGGGCATTATAATTAATTTCTGATAAATAATAATTATAAATATATTATAAATTTGATATTAGTAGAAAATTTTATTATAAAATAATTATTAAATAATTTTATATAGTTTATTATAAAAATATAATTTACATAAAATCAAATATTTTATAAATTTATATATTTGATTGGGTTAAATTATAAAAATAATTTTTAATATAAAGAATAATAATATTTTTTAGTAGAAAATAAGACTTAGATTACTAATAATAAGTTAAATTTTAATAATAGTTAATATAATTAATTAGTGAATACATAATAATATTTAAAAGACAAAAAATAAGTTTTTATATAATAAAAATTATTGTTAAAAAGAGCGTAAGAACAATAAATAAAAGAAAATATAAAAACGAAATTAAACTTGTCTAATTTGTAATTATTGTGTTAATAATAAATAATATTTTATAGAATAAATCTGGTGTTATTATTCTATATAAATATTATTAAAATAATAAAACTATTAAAATTATAAAATAACTTAAAATAAATTAATAAAACTAGTAGATATTGTTAAAGCTCGTACAATAGCTGTCGAGATAAAACAATATAAGATAACAGAAGAAGTAGTTAAAAAGTTGTAATATAACTACCAATCCGTTATCAAGTGGTGGAGAACCTCAGTCGTCCCGTGGGAAAGCCGAAAATTTAAATAATTCCTATTAATTAGTATATTTAGTATAATTATCTTATTTATTTACTAAATATGACTGAAAATAAAAACAATTTTGAAAGAGCCGCTAGTATGGCTAAAGAAATAAGCCCTCTTGGCAAGAAAGATACTAAGTTCTTCAGATGGAAAATGGAACTTGAAGATATCTTAGAAGACTTAGCTCTTTCTGAAAAAGAAAAGAAGAGAATTGCTTTGCTTGCTACTACCGGTAACTCAAAGGATCTTTGTAGTGATATTTATTATGAAGATAGATCCCTATCTTATAATGAATTTATCAATAAAATATCTAACTTATTTGAGGATGATAAAACCTCTAATAGAAACCTAAATAAGTTAGAAAAAATAAAAGTAAACAAAAGCTCTGTTAGAGAATTTAACCGTTCTTTTAACGACCTTTTGAAAGAAATTAAAGAAAGGGACAAGCCTTCTGAAGAAAGACTTGTTTTTCTTTATACAAAAGCTTTTAATAGGAGAACTTCTATATTAAATTCTCTTATTAACAAACAACCAAAAACTTTAAAGGATGCTATGGTCATTGCTATTAAAGCAGATGAGCTTCTATCTGCTTATGAAAGTGATGATGAATATGTACCCAATAAAAGAACTCAAAACAAAAATAATTATTATAAGAGAAAAACAGAAGTTGAAGATAAAACCTCTTATAATAATAACGAAAATAATAGTAGTACTGATAATGAAAAGACTACTAAAGAAGAAGCTAAAGAATCAGATCTGGATGCTTTGACCAAAAGCTTTGCCCAGATGAAAATTCATATCTGCCACCGTTGTAACCAGAAAGGACATGATGCCCGCTTCTGCCCAAACGAAATGACCGATGTGAACAAAATCATAGCTACCCTCCTCAAAACCCAAAACCATTTAAATTAAATGGGGGAAGTTCTCAATCTTCCCCTTCTAACTCCAAAATTGATAATAACCAAACCCACAACATCAACAACATTAATGAGCAAATCTATGTTGATGATACACGTGATTTCCATAAAACAAAAAAATTTCCAAATTCTAAAGAAAAATTCTCTAACCCTTTGGTGGATGATCCAATCAATGAAGATGATAAGGATTACGTTACACGTGATCACGTGACAAATACAGTCGATGATAAGGACATCGAAAACCTTATTTATGCATTCAAGAGAAAAAGTTCTGAAGAAAGTGATGAAAGTGATGATGAGGATCACGTGACTCAGTCGAAGAAAAAGAAACTTCGAGAAAATCCATTACCAATACATACAAAGGCCACTCAGATGAAAGAACAGCAAGAAATTCGTAATGAGAAAAATTCAAATTTTCATACCACTACTTCCCGCCTAGACATCTTAGACCCCTCGGTAATTGCAGGCAAGAATATTTCCTCTGCTAAGATGAAAAATAAAGAAACCAGAAATAAAAGAAGAATTGGTCCAGATATACCAAGTAAACAGGACGAATTAGAAGAAGTTATAGATAGCAAAAAGTCTCCCAAAAGCAACTATTATGACTTCCTACGTTCTATTGTCATGTTGGGCAAAAATAAAGAATATAATATTTTTGATGCCCTTAATAATACAAATGCTGGTATCTCTTTTGCACAATTGCTTGCAGTCAGTCCTATCATCAGAAGACTTTGTGCCAAAGGTTTAAAGCTTGATCCAAATGATGTTCGGAAAATAAACGCCATTCAAAATATGGATCTTAATGATGATGATATTAATTCATTTATTAATATCATTAATGAAAATTATAATAATAAAAATAATGAAAACAATGATGATGCTGATAATGACAATGATGATGATATTATCAATATAGCAGATAACGAAATTAATGTCATTAATAAAATCAACATTGCTTCTGTCATTGGCTCAATTGATAATAACATTGTCCGAGTTTTAGTAGATACTGGTTCTGATGTTAATGTTATTACTAAATCCTTCTTTAATTTAATATCAGCAAATCATAATATTACACATTTTAAGAGAACTTTCTTTAAATTAGCTAGCAAACAAGTTATTTCAACAAATCAAGCTGTTAATTTAACTCTTAAATTTGGTGATTTAAAAATCTATGCATTATTCTGGATTCTAGAAGATGAAGATTCATGTTATGATATTATATTAGGTCGTCAATCTCAAAAGAATCACCGATTATACATTGATCCTGATGATGACTCTCTTTACATGAAAACTAATTCATCTCCTATTATGGTTGCTCGTCCCTCAAATTTTAAACAAAATAAAAATAATCTTTCAAATATTTCAATGATTCATTGTTTCAATCCATCAAATATTAATGAATCTCAATTTAATTCATTTAATAATAATATCAAAATTCAAAATTTTAATTCGACTTTTAACAATAAAAACAAACTTTTTTATTCAATTAAATTTCGACATTTATTCAAATTTAAAAATAAATATTTTTATCCAAAATATCACATTTTTCATTCAAATTTCAGCAAATTTCCAAAAAGAATTAAAAACGATTCACTTATTAAATTTTCAATTAATAAGTCAAATCTTGTCGGCCGTGATGAAGCAGAAAAAACGCCAATTATTCACGAAAAATGCCACAAAATCAAGATATATAAAAATAAAAGTAAAATTCTAAAATATAATCATTTGAATATTAATATTAACAGGAAATTAAAATCAAGAAAAAAGCGAAATAAACAAAATGATATAATCAAAAATTCATCAAATAATTCGTTTAAGAATATATATTTCAGTATAATAAAAAGTGTAAAAGAAAGTATTTCAAATTCAATTATTTTCAATCTAAAAGATTATATCAAATCAGTAACTTCAATTTTAAAACGACATTATTTCGACATATTAAAATCAAAATTTCATCTATTTTCAAAGTTTAAAGAAAGATAAAACCACATTAAACATTTATATACAAATAATACGACAATTACATTACAAAAATATATAAAAACACAAAAATATTTACACTACGACATTTAACAAAATTTCACTTCATTTTTTTTATTTCTCTTTGAAAAAAAAATTTTATTAATAAAAATTTTCAAATTTTTCATCATTTTTTTTATAAACCTTATTTTATATTATTTTTATCATATATATATATATATAGAAAAAAAAATTTAAATTTTTAAATATTTAGTATAAAAATATCAAAAACTTATATATTTATTATTATTTATGAATATTTTTATCAGCTACCACTAAGTCGTATCTTAGGGGAGGAAATCTTGATAAATAATAATTATAAATATATTATAAATTTGATATTAGTAGAAAATTTTATTATAAAATAATTATTAAATAATTTTATATAGTTTATTATAAAAATATAATTTACATAAAATCAAATATTTTATAAATTTATATATTTGATTGGGTTAAATTATAAAAATAATTTTTAATATAAAGAATAATAATATTTTTTAGTAGAAAATAAGAAGACTTAGATTACTAATAATAAGTTAAATTTTAATAATAGTTAATATAATTAATTAGTGAATACATAATAATATTTAAAAGACAAAAAATAAGTTTTTATATAATAAAAATTATTGTTAAAAAGAGCGTAAGAACAATAAATAAAAGAAAATATAAAAACGAAATTAAACTTGTCTAATTTGTAATTATTGTGTTAATAATAAATAATATTTTATAGAATAAATCTGGTGTTATTATTCTATATAAATATTATTAAAATAATAAAACTATTAAAATTATAAAATAACTTAAAATAAATTAATAAAACTAGTAGATATTGTTAAAGCTCGTACAATAGCTGTCGAGATAAAACAATATAAGATAACAGAAGAAGTAGTTAAAAAGTTGTAATATAACTACCAATCCGTTATCATTTCTGGTACACCACATTCAGAAAAATGCAATAAATCCATATATTTGGTAAATGAAATAACCCTTATAATATATATGGATTTAAATATTTTTATTTAATAAATTTATATAACGATAGTAATAATAAGAATGGTAAATTAAATTAATAACTTATAAATAATTTATTAAAGTAAAATAAACTTTTTATAATTTAATATAAGGATGATAAAAATATAATTATATAAGGAAGAGGAAGACGCGTATATATATAAAAAAAAGAAAAGAAGAGTTTTTAGTTTTTAGTTAGTTTTAGTTAGTTTATATTAGTTATATTATAAATAAAATAAAGATAAGGTGATAATAATAGAAGAATAAATAATATTATTGTTAGATTTAGTGAAGGAATTAATAATAATATTAGTTTATTTTCTAAGATTATACCTATTTTTAAAACAAATGATAATATAAAATAATAATAAATAAT